ACCCTAATGGAGACTTTAAGACCTAACACAAATAGGTAAGGCTTGTGATACTTACCGTATTCGACGTAATAAGCGCCCGGGGCGCTCTCAAAATTAGAAATAGGGGGCTCTTATCAGAATATAATTTTGGTGAGACAAAAACAGAGTTGAAAAATTGTAAATTTCGTAGTTTATGCTGACAGCCTGAAATGATACAAAAGAAAAGTCTGTGCGTATCATACATGACAAATAAATTTTCCCGAATTTAATTGCCCATAATTAAGGGTGCATATAACACACGAGTGCGTATTATACACGAATAAATAAGTCTTGTGTACATTGATCAATCGGAAGGGGTGCTAATTGGGATTGTTCACCAGCCAATATATTAGCAAATATCGCCGTGGGCGCTTATTACGTTGAATACGGTATACTTCCTACCGTATCAAATGTTTCACAATATACTGCAAATCATAATTAATGCATCACCAAATCAAATCATGAATTTAATGGGACTTATCTGTCTTTGAGATTTGCAAACCATTTGTTGCAACACAGTTCTATCTATTTCTTTTTTGGGGTGGGTGGGTTGACAAAATGTTTCATAGAGGGAGGCAAAATATGATGCAGTCCTAACACCAGCACTCCAAAGAATATTTCTGTTAACACGATTTCGATCTTTAGGTCCATGCGCCACCATGTTGACTGTACTGGACATTTTCACAATTCTTACATGAGCAGTGTTTATTTTGGTTTAAACTGAAAATAATCAGCGACAGGGATTATTTTGTTTTAACGTGGCATGGCGCAAGGACATACGCCGATGTGCGCTCATGCATGACTCTCTACTCTGTCAGCTGCACTGGATGTGACCACCCACCCACCCAACTCTTAAACTAAAGGTTTTCACAGGTTTATTTCTAAGTGAGTTATTATGTACATTTTTAGTGAGGAAATTTTATGTGGTGTATTTACTCTGTTTTTATGTCAGTAATAAAACTTACCTATTCCCCCAACCGGGTTGTTTTATTATTTACATGTGCTTGAGATCATTGGAGATGTTAAAATGAGATCGTTGGAGATGTTAAAATATCTGACAAATTGGTCTGGAATAAAGATGCTGTGAAGCCTGCTTCATCAACTTGTGTAAGCAACATTGACCAGATTTGCCCTAAATAACCTGGTTGAATGTAGGCATTTGTGTGAGATTCATGTCATTATTTCCAGCAGTAAACCTGAAGTGACAACAAACTCCAGTCTGTCAATGATAATGTGTCACGATATTAAGGCGAGCTAGTGACACTCGCATTTTTTCGCTTTAATTTCAGTAGTTTCCAGTTTTGGATAAGTTTTTACAGCATGAATAGTTTATCTCAGTTTGATTTTCAATTCAAAGAAGAAGACAATTTCATCCCCATCCCCACCATCCTTGTGTTTTTACGTTTGGGAAATAAACACACTGTCTTCAGTGTTGAGCTACCATATATCAACGTCTATAAAGCGACCCTACGTATAAGGCGACCACCCTGTACAAGCCTTCAAAATCAATGCTAATTTATATACCCCGTCCATAAAGCGAATCGGAATGAAGCACGTCATCAGCGCTTACACAATCTCTACATTTGGAATAAAAATGTATTTGTCTTCCTCAGAAAAAATTTACATCGTATCACTTCAGTGAATTCAGGGAAGTGAACAGATCATAACAATTAAACTTGGTCCATAAAACTCAGAAATTTGCGATAAAACATAACTAGACATGATGATTTACCAATTAAATTGTATTTCCTGTTCTGATAGGCATAACCTGTAGATCTAACCATGCTAATTGAATTTGGAACTGAATGTGAGGCTAAATTTAACACTGGACACCTCACGCTCCTTGTTCAGTTCCACCTGCAACTCAGTGTGGTTAAATCTACAGGTAACCTGGCAACACTTGAAAACACAGTATTTCAGCTCCCATGTAAAGAAAATATCCCTTTTGTGTAATGCCCAAATATCTGCACATCGCAGGTTAATCTCAACAAAAAAAGGTTGAGTGAGTTTAGGTTTACGCGGCTTTTAGTATTATTCCAGCATTATCACAGTGGGGGACACCAGAAATGGGCTTCACACATTGTACCCATGTGGGGAATGGAACCCGGGTCTTCAGCATGACGAGCGAACACTTTAACCACTAGGCTACCCCACCTCCCTACAAAACAGGGGATCGTATGAAGAGTCACATACTAGTCACATTGCATGATTCCTACAAGGAATTACTCAGCAGCTGAATGTACCCCAAAAGCGTTCATGGTAATGTCTGCAGAAACCATGCCAGCATCATCTTGTGCTCGACATCTGTGGAAATTGTTGCTCTCTAACAGAACTCATCAGGGTGAGATGGTATCTTATGTACATGTGACAAGCAACAGATTACATTCCCACAGGGAGCCAGTGCTGCCAATCAACTGTCTGAAACTGGAATGCAAGCATGAAAAACTCCGCTAATATGACATGTCCGGTTGTGTGCAAGGCAAGAAATATTGCACGGTTTTCAAGATCTGCTCTGGAAACGAGCACTTATGCCATTTTCAGTCAAAGTCGTCGCTATGGAAACTCGATAAATAATTGTTAAAAAATCCCAAACTATCAAAAGATAGTTCACCAATAGGCCTATCTATGTGCCAAGTTTGGTTAAGATATCTTTCATGGTTTTTGAGTTCTGCACCGGAAACGAAACATGAGGGAGGATAATTGTGCAATTACAGCACCAGCTGACACTGACCTTTGACCTGAAATTACAGGTTGTGAAACCTAACTTTTTCAAACTAATGTCAGTTTGTCAAATACAACAGTAATATAGCATGTTTAAGTAGAGTGGAACGTCCGAGTAACTCTCCATTCCTTAAAAATAATGGAGCAGAGGCCCCGCAGTATACGTGGCCCATCATTTTTAAGGAATGGAGAGTTACGAGGATATTCCCCTGCTTAAAACTCATCCCTACTTTTACACATTGACAAAATATTCTGTTGTGGGCAATATTTGAAAAATAAACCAGAACTGTTTGTTGTCTGTATTTATACTGTGTGAGTCGACCTTGCATGATGCACGAGGAATGCATTCTGTGCACTGCACCAAGCTGCATCGCAAGCTGACATTTACAATGCATGGTACCCGTCTCTTCATAATTTTGGTTGGTCCTAAACTAGTATTCATCAATCGCTTGCATATTATTAATACATGCTGACGGGAATAACAGGAAGTATAGAGCCCCGAACAAAGATACATATATTACCTTATTTGTTTTTTCTTGTCAAAAGGTTTATCTAATCGCTATAAATATGAGTGAGTGAGTGAGTATGGTTTTACGCCGCTTTTAGCACTATTCCAGCAATATCACGGCGGGGTACACCAGAAATGGGCTTCACACATTGTACCCATGTCGGGAATCGAACCCAGGTCTTCGGCGTGACGAGCGAACGCTTTAACCACTAGGCTACCCGACGGCCCGCTATAAATATGAACATTATTGTAGGTAACATGCTGTAACACAAAATATGTACATATTATTTTGAGCTTATAAGCATTATGCAAAAATAAGAAAATATTTAATAGTTAATTTCACACCACACCTTCATGTGCCGCCGTAGCTGAGGGGGTTGACAATTACACATTCTCAACTCAAACATTGCAGGTTCGAACCCCGCTGGCGACATGTTTTCAGAAAAAAAATGAAATCGTCACTTGTTAATAAATGTAAATAGTTCCGTCTATTCCAAGTGGAAATTAATTCAAATGTTGGTTCAAGATAAAGTATAGTTGACAAACAACTCTCCATTCCTGACAAATAATGGAGCATTCAAACAACAGAATGACGTCACAGATGTGTTTTAAGTCTTCACAAACTTCCAGTCATGCCGACCAAAGCAACCAGCAGCAGGCTCCAAAACTATGGAATACGTACACCCCTTGAATAGTAGGACCAGCCACACAAAATACAAACACAATCCCCATAAAGTTTTCTTTGTAATAAGAACCCGGCACATTTTCAATGGAACTAAACACAGTAAATCATGCCGCGTGTAACCATTTGTTGCGGTCTGCATGTCTGATTAATATTTTATTTCATCTCAGTAAAGTAAGTCAAGCCTGAATAGTCGCATAATTAATATGTTCATATGATTAGGAGGAGAAGAAGACATTTTAATGCCCGTATTACAGGTCTGATGGACGAATGATGGACAAAGTGTTGGGACAAAAACTCACAATAACTGGTGGCCAAACAACAGCCTTCAGTGTAAACAGGCAAGCATGGTAAGGCGGGCCCACATTTGTCGACATCTATTTGTCATGAGGTCATTTTATTGGCAAATAGCATTTTTTATCTTAACACATTTTACGGAAAATATATGATATTCAAATGTTTAAGAGAACTGTTTACCTGAGGGCTCGAATGGCATATATATTTACAACATTAATACTCATCTTGTAAATATAACATCATTTCTTTTGCGGGGGGTGCAGGTGGCCCAGTCGTCTAAGGTGTCGCAATTCGCTGTGCAAAGTTGTGTCCCTTTGGCACGCCAGAAACCTATGATTGAGGGTTCGAATCCCGGTTCGCCCCGATTATGTTTCTAGGTTTGTCAGCACCATACCCATGCTCGTGGGTTTCACCGAAGTGGTAAACGTCTGAGACCTGCATCACTTTGGGCTTTCCTCACACATTAAGCTGACACGCCGCGATATAACTGGAATACTGTTAAAAGCTGCATTAAACCCAACTCACTCACTCACTCACTCATTTCTTTTGCAAATACAAAACAATAATAAAACCTCTCACCATCAACAATTTACCCTTATTGTCTTCAACTTGCTATGCTTTAAAACATTGTTATTCTTTTCTTAATACAAATGGATTTAGCAAAACTGTTTTCATACTCATCATACTTGACAAATTGTAACACTTTTAACCGATGTATATATACATATTGTTCACCCCTTACTACATAAGAAGGAGGTCATTATCCGACATTACCTTCCATCAGTGGAGGTTCATCGTCGAAATTGTCAGACGTTGTCTCATTGAAAGAAGTTGCTGGGGTCATGATGGAGCCAGTGTACCCTGCCTGGGGACTGGGGTAGCCTTGACCTTTGTTGTACTGCTGGTCGTAGTCAAACTGGCCAAACTGCCTGTAACAAGGGAGATAACTCAGACAGTCCAAGGGTTGTGGTATTAAATGAGCATACAGTGAGTTGGGTTTACAATATTTCTCTCATAGCCAGCGTGTCACATTGACATAGGCGGGATCAGAGGAACAAGGTAAGTGAAGGTATATATCATAGCTAACCACTAATTGTTAACCACAAGTCATGTTGTTATACATTATTAACCACTAGGCATGTTGTTATACATTGTTAACCACTAGGCATGTTCTTATATATAGTTAACCACTAGGCATGTTGTTATACATAATTAACCACTACGCATGTTGTTACACATTGTTAACCACTTGGCATGTTGTTATACATTGTTAACCACTAGGCATGTTGTTACACATATTTAACCACTAGGCATGTTGTTATACATATTTAAGCACTAGGCATGTTGTTACACATTGTTAACCACAAGTCATGTTGTTATACATATTTAGACACTAGGCATGTTGTTATACATAATTAACCACTAGGGATGTTGTTATACATTGTTAACCACTAGGCATGTTGTTACACAATGTCAACCACAAGGCATGTTGTTATACATTGTCAACCACTAGGCATGTTCTTATATATAGTTAACCACTAGGCATGTTGTTATACATAATTAACCACTATGCATGTTGTTACACATTGTTAACCACTTGGCATGTTGTTATACATTGTTAACCACTAGGCATGTTGTTACACATATTTAACCACTAGGCATGTTGTTATACATATTTAACCACTAGGCATGTTGTTACACATTGTTAACCACAAGTCATGTTGTTATACATATTTAGACACTAGGCATGTTGTTATACATAATTAACCACTAGGGATGTTGTTATACATTGTTAACCACTAGGCATGTTGTTCCACATTGTTAACCACTAGGCATGTTGTTATACATTGTTAACCACTAGGCATGTTGTTATACATTGTCAACCACAAGGCATGTTGTTATACATTGTCAACCACTAGGCATGTTCTTATATATAGTTAACCACTAGGCATGTTGTTATACATAATTAACCACTATGCATGTTGTTACACATTGTTAACCACTTGGCATGTTGTTATACATTGTTAACCACTAGGCATGTTGTTACACATATTTAACCACTAGGCATGTTGTTATACATATTTAACCACTAGGCATGTTGTTACACATTGTTAACCACAAGTCATGTTGTTATACATATTTAGACACTAGGCATGTTGTTATACATAATTAACCACTAGGGATGTTGTTATACATTGTTAACCACTAGGCATGTTGTTCCACATTGTTAACCACTAGGCATGTTGTTATACATTGTTAACCACTAGGCATGTTGTTATGCATAATTAACCACTAGGCATGTTGTTATACATTGTTAACCACTAGGCATGTTGTTATGCATAATTAACCACTAGGCATGTTGTTAAACATTGTTTACCACTGGGCCTGTTGTTATACACTGTTAACCACTACTCAAGTTATAAAACGTGGATATAGTAAATGAGATTGAAATCCCTCAGAGTTTTGTCATCAATCAGAACTCTAAACTCGTTTGTTCAAAACAGATATTCACCAAGGCTGAATGTTTATTAACAATTTGTTCCATTGTGTTTGTGTTTATCCTGGTTCCTACTACACAAAGTCATTAATCTTTGTATCCTCTACCACACTTAGCTTCCAGTATATTTAAAAATGAGAAATTATATGAAACTTAATTATAAAATATTATTTTCTGTCAGTATCTTCAAGAGATCTCAATCCACTTTTCCATTAGATACGACAACTCCACTCTACTAAATGTTACTTACTTCCCTGTGATGGTGGAATATGTCTTCCGCCATATGTCATATCATGTATCGAATGACCACCTTACTATTGATACATGCATCAAACACAACAGTATATTGTTACGGCCCTTATTTCTACTGATTAGCAATATCTTGGATTGTTACAGGTTAATTAATAATCATCGTCTGAACACTAAGTTTACAAATACGCACTGGTCCTGTCCGAACTGTGGTGCACTCCCCATGTCGTAGCCGGTGCTCTGCTGCTCATAATAGTTTCCTTGGAAGAAGCCATCATCCTGACCAAAACCTCCAGACATGATGATAACTGATATTATCTAAAACATAAATCATAATCAGGGTGTGAGTGAGTTGGGTTGAACACCACTTTCAGCCCACAAGGTAACAAAGTAAGAATAAAAAAATTCAAACAAAAGGTTATAGGGTCCTGTCACAACAAAGGGATGTAACTCTGCACAGAGAATTCCAGCACGTTAGATGACTAGACAAGCCTGTGCCTGACTAATATGCACAAATTGATTGAGAACATTATAAAGAAACGTGCATCAAATAATGACAACACCTTTTTAGTATCTTAAGATTAAACGAGCCAAATAAAGGCAGTCTGACCCATGAAATTATTGTCAGTGTTCAAAAACAAGTACGGTCCTGGGATCCTGGAAGTGTGCTCCTATCGTACTTAAATCTTATCGTACTTAAATCTGGAGGCACCCACCAAACTTTAACACTAGGCCTTTGATTAGACTCCTAGAATTGTCTATGTAATTTTAACATTAAATCTGTATAACATAACACTTCATGTATTTAAGGATACAGTAACAACTGGTAATATTACTTCAGAGTAAATACATTTGATGATATGATTTTCCTTGCTAATAATAAAGTAAAAGACCATCAGAAATCAGCTGGTCATTCAGGGGCCCAAGTTGCCATGTCATCTAGGGCCCAGCAAATTAATGTGCAGAGTTGCATCCCTTAGCTGTGTTAGGATTTGGTGGTCATGGTTTTAAAGGGACAGTACGTCGACAGTCCTGTGTGTTCTTAAATCATGTATGAAACAGAAGTAGAAACTAACATTTTTAGTCGACTAGTCCTTATAATGATAACATATAGCAAAACCCTTAATAATGGCAAATTTCTACTAGTCCTTATGATACCTTAACTATTGGGCAGCTTGGCAAGGACTACAGGACTGGTGCCGATTTCTAACGCTAATGAAATAATTCCCAAGTGTTCTCAAACTAAAACAATAGAGTTCCTTACAGTGAAGCCAACAATGCAGGCACTGTGCAGAGTAAACTGTCTTCAGTCTTGTTTTTTAATAGAGGCAACTTAAAGAGACAGCTTGTGTGTTCTTACTGCTGAGTACAACACACTAATTGCCAGCTAGATTAGATTAGAAGCAAGTGTTAATCAATGCCTAGACAACAATATAAATATGCCTCGGTTGGAAGAAGCCAATATCCTCTTATACCCAGAGTTCCTTGCAGCCAGCCAAGTTACATCTAACAAAGTCTGTTCATGTGATTTTCATCTGTTTCATTTTGGACGAGTCTACACATTTAGTTAGCCATACGTCATGAAATGTTTAACTTTCATTAGTGAGAACATATCCTGAAACGGGAAAAGCTATTTCCATTTGCGTACTTATCCTCCACGTCTGGTCATCGAAACCCTGGTCACTGGAGCAGAAACAGAATAAGGCGAGCACAGCAGAGTAAGCTCAGGGGTTATCAGGAATTGTTTACAAGAAAAGCTTCAGAAAGGTTGACGTCCTGTCCCTGTATATTCCACATTCTGCCTATGTATAATTGTTTTGTTGTGTCACAGAACTATAAGCTGCGTATTTGCATAAAATATGCATTATATAAACTGAAATATGCACACAAATCAAATACACAACAAAAACTATGAATACGCTTTTGAAATAAAACTAATGTGTATATTACAACTATTAGATAAAACGATTGCATGTATTACAATTAGATAAAATGATTGTGTATCAGCCAATCACAAAAATCACTTACCGAGAGTTACATTCAGAAAAACTTGTGCGACAAACAAACTTGAATGCCAAAAGATTCCAAATGAAAAGCACAATTGCCTAAACAATGTTTCTTAAAAAGTCACTGATCGCTGATTAAAAAAGCGGTGCCTTTCTGACTATGCTAGGTTTTGCAAACAAAAAAAGCTTCCCGCGGAAGGAGCCCCAAGCAGACGGTGACGGGTAACTGATAATAAATATTCATTTAGTTTTAATGATTTACTGGAGTTTTAACAAAACAGGTTTTCAAGTTAAAGTACCCAAATGTCAAGAAACAGGTGGGTCAAATATATTTGAATACCCTCTAAAAATAGTGGATACCCAATCAAAATCAAACCCCTGGGTAAAATACGGTTCGCAAATAACCAAAAGCTTATCTGGAGCTCTGGTGTCAGCATCTCATCTAGGCTCATTGGTTTCATGAAAGTGGTAAACAACCTGCATCATTTTGGTTCTTCATAAAGCTGATTTAACTGAATTAGTCAATTACTCTCAAACATAAATATATCTTTCAAATGAAAGTTTCTGTCATGTTTATTAATCAATAATCCTTTAGACACAAAATATGGTTTTATCTGTGTACTATTAATACACTCGTGCATCATGGGTTCTTAATTTCAGTATCTGATATTTCCATTCATCATAACAGTACTTAAACATTCACCTCTACTATAACTGTTTATATCTTTGATCGAAAACCGGACATTAGAAATAAAATATTGTTTTCCAAACAATTTGCAGCAGATACATCAATATTTCACACATAGCAACCAAGTAAATGTCATTTCTTCATATTTTCAACAAATAAATATTCATAGATAATCATATATCACCTTTGGTCACTCAAACTACAAGTTGCTAAAGTAAACTCAACCACGACAGCAAAGAGCAGACAACTTCACGATGATAATTCCGCTTCTGCGCAGTACAAGCCTTCCGACTTCCTTTTCCGGTCTTGACATCCACCAGGTTGGTGCTTCATGTGCACTATACAGAATAAAATCGTCAAGAATTGGCATCATTTATCCCCCATCTTGCATTAATATTAAATACGTAAAATGTTTTAAGTTATAGCTGTTGGATCGAACCAACATTTTGAGCCATTAATACTTATTTCATGAGTTATCGGGCCTTGTAGCGCTGAAGTGTATGATGTACACAAACAGGAGGTATCTCGGTCATAGGACTGGATACTTGATAAAGTTAATATGTAACAAAACCAACGGGATTTTTGTGGTCTCAATCTTCAGACGACGCATTGTTTACACATGTCAGATTCTTAGAATGTATCCCTATCATAATGTGGAGTTATTGTCGGCCTTGCAACTCTGCTACCTAATCCTACGAAATACTAAGCTAAGTAAAGGCTACAAACAAAAATATTTACAAAGATTACTATAAAAGTCAGCTTGACCAGGAGTTATTAGTCTTTTTGGTAAATCTGAGTAATTAATGTACTACCCTAATTGTATTACTGAGATGGTCAATCTGCATCCCTGCATGTAAGCTCAGATAAGTACAGTGTTCGACAATCGATACTCATGATGTCAATCACTGGATTGTCTGGTCCGGACTCGATTATTTACAGACTACCGTCATATAGCTGGGATATTACTGAGTGCGGCGTAAAAAATAATAATTGTTATGTAATAATGTAACATTGTCACCGGAAAATGTTTTCTAATCATGCAACCTCTAAAGCTCAACACAAAACAACTGTTACGTACTGTATGACTTGTTCAACATACTTTCAAAAGCTTAGTCTGGAATGGATGTCGCAAGTTTGAAACTGATACCGCAAAGCTTAAGAAAGCTGCTTTCTAAGTGGCTAACATTGACTTCCTGTTAGTCATTTCATTGGTCGGTCATAGTTCGTGATAGGTTGTTCAGACGTGACCTGTAATGGCATGTCCTCGGCTATAGCGAGAACTTGTATCTGATTTTAATGAGATTGAGGTAATCTAAGCATGTGATTAATCCTGTTTTCTTTATTTAAAGCATTAATTGTTTATTGTGAGCAAGTTTATCTCTGCAGCTGTTGAAATATGCAGCTACCTGCCGACTCATCTTGCATCAAAACACGGGCTGTGTACTCACAGGCAGATGACCACGGAGTACGCTGATCACTGTTGGATTAATGAGTGATTTCCTTAATTCGTTGCAAATTAGGTGTGTCGGAGTGCGAGACTGTCGAATTAACGGGTCTAAATAGCACTGATTTTTATCGGTTCTCATCATTAGTCTCGGATAAAGCCGATTCTCGTATTAACGAGGGTCAGATTAACGAGACTTGACTGTATATTGGTGACTGGGGTGTAATCACTGTAAACCATGAACCAATTTCTTTTCCCCATGCAAATATGTAATGATGCATTTTTATATTTTAGTCATGAAGACCATAAAATCAAGTGAGAGTGTAAGAGCTCCTGATGGAGGTAAGTGTCAAATCAGTCTTTTGGACCATGTATAGAGGATATTATATGAGTGTTCATGTCATACTATGTTTACCGACCTGTGAAGATCCGGTATAGAATAGGTCTTCATCAACCCATGCTTGCCATAAGAGGCAACTATGCTTGTCGTAAGAGGCGACTAATGGGATCGGGTGGTCAGACTCGCTTGACATCGTTGATGCATGTCACCGTATCCCAATTGCGTGGATTGATGCTCATGTCGTTATTCACTGGATTGTCTGGTCCAGAGAGTACCTCCATGGTGCCATTAGATCGTCCGTCCGGAGAGCGGAAGGCCTGGGGTTTGATCCCCGGCCGCATCATACCAAAAGAAGTTAAAAGATGGTACTTGTTGTTACCCAGTCTGGAGCTCGGCATTAAGGGGCTAAAAGGAGGACTTGGAGTCAGTATACTGTCTTATTGTGGCAGGGTTCACTCTGGGAAATTTGAAAATTTCAAATATTTCAGAGGTACACCCACACTTGCCGATACAGCACAATGTTAAAATGCCCCCATTGTATTTGAAAGTGTGGGCCTTTTTTTTAAGTTTAAGGCTAAAAGCACAAGGCCCCAACCTAGAATTATCCAAAGAGGAGTATTCATGTTAGACTGCGGCATGGTATCTCAGTGGGCTAGCACGATAAATCAGTATCAGTCTGGACTAGTACAAGCAGCCACACACACGTGCATGTACGTCGCTATATGAGTGCAATAAGCATAGGCACGACGTTAAAGCCCATTACACCTCACCTCACCTCACCTCACCTCACCTCACCTCACCAGAGGGCTTGTTTGTTTTATTGGAAGGTTATGGTAGATTAAAGATAAGACAGAAATGGCACTACACTCTTGGTAGTCAATGAGGACTACCATCATTTTCGCTTGTCCTCAGCAGAATTTAGTTGTCATGGGCTAGCTGACAAGCGTGAACTTTTTAAGACTGCATGTATTACAAGTAATAGTGCTGATTCTGAGCATGTAAGTTTTAGTTATATAGCTTGAATATTGCTGAGTGCGGCGTTAAACAACAAACGACAAAGCCTTCAAGTTTAACCTGATGATGTCTGTTGCAGTGACTCTTAAGGTTCACTCCCGAACTGTTACTGTTTTTGGACCTCGTGGAAAGCTTGTGCGCAGTTTCCGTCACTTGCCAGTGGACATGAAGATCAAGAACGGCAAGATCCTCACCGTCGACAAGTGGTTCGGCAAGCACAAGGAATTGGCTGCCACAAGGACTGTCTGCTCACACGTTGAGAACATGATCAAGGGGGTTACCAAGGTAGCTTCTAAAAGCATTAAGAACTGGCACTGGTCCTTAAACTAGTGTTGGGAGTTTTTTGTGAATTTAAAGATACATCATTCATTTGACATATTTACCTCCTCGATCAGTGTATGATTTTCTTAACCATATTAATAATAATATTCAAATCATTTCAATATTATTAATATGGATAAGAAAATCATACATTGATGGAGGAGGTAAAAATGTTGTTGTTGACTGTCCCACATTTCCAGCCCATGCCATTTATTGAGTCGATTAGACTGGACTCCTCGCTTCAGATCATATCTTGTTGATTTTAGCGGATGTGTATCAGGTAAACTGGTCCCTTTAAGGGTGTGTGTGGCTTGGGAGAGGGGAGATTAATGGGGAGGGTCATGAACATTGCAAAATTTATTACAGCTATTTTTGTTTGAATGGTGAGGGGAATGAAAAATTGATAGTTCTATTTCTTTATCAAACAATTTGTCATGGGGGTCATATGCTGGAGTACCACACAGGGTATATGTGGTTTATGCATCCCACATTCGGCTTTATGGTACCATCAATAGTCAAGTGGTATAAATCCCAACTATGGCCGCATAAAACAACATATAGAGTATGTATCTTGCCGACATGTTTCTATCTGCCGTTGTACAAGAATTACAACAAATTGAAAATTGAAGGAAAACAGCTGTTCGACTGAGCTGAGGTTAGCTTGTGCTGTGTCACGGGACATTTATTGACTCGTAAATATTGTGCAACCTTTCGTAGTGGGTTCCGAGAGATTATTCTCCAACTCAGGAACTCAGTGGAGCCTGTTCTCATTGTGGTGGGGTAGGAGGGATTTATTCTCCTGCTCAGAAAGTTAGAAGTCAGACGTTGTATTTTGTCAAGATCACATGAACTAACCAGACTCAACATTCTGACGTCGAGACAAGACAACAAAATGTGATACAGTCCCAAGACCAATCCCGCCATACCAACCACCATGTACAGTAAATGACCAGTATCTTAGGCCTAGGCATGGCCAAGTGGCTGAAGTTGTAGACTGAAGTTCAGCCAGTGAAATCAAACAAAATCATTTTCTAGCCATCATGACAAACGGTGGGCTAATGGCAGTTTCTAGCCCTGCTTTAGATCTGGGTGTCACTTGGGAAATGTCGGCCTGCTAACTTGTGAAGATCCCTTGTCTTGTGATAGGGCTACCATGTCTAGTTGGCCTGTACTGCATTGTTGATCACTACATTTTGTTCCAGGGATTTTTGTACAAGATGCGTGCCGTGTATGCCCATTTCCCAATCAACATTGTGATCAGCAATGAAAATACTACCGTGGACATCAGGAACTTCTTGGGGGAGAAGTTCACCCGCAAGGTGGAGATGATGCCGGGGGTCACCTGCACCCCCTCCGGCAGCAAGGACGAGTTCATTATCCAGGGAAACGACATTGAGCTGGTGTCACGATCAGGTGGGTGTCAAGGGTTATCTGCCCTTATGTGAGAACCACTCTCAGCGATAGAAACTAACAGTTTTGGTCCACTTGACCTTATGATGAAAACATATAGCTAAACCCTTAATAATGGGAAATTTCTACTTTCAAGGTATTTTACCCATGTATTTTAAAATCATTGGGTATCAGTAATTCTATCTGGGTATTCAAGTTTCTGTTACCCACTAGTTTTTACACATGTGGGTATTAAAGTTAAATATTTAAAAACACTATTCATCAAGTCACTGCAAATTGGTGTCGTCTGGGTTCGAGAGCTTTATAGGACTCAAAAATACCACGATACTTCCACAAGAAAGTGTGATGGCAAAGGATCATGATGTAACTGTCATCGTGGAGTTGTGCAAGGTTGACGGAATGCCCGTTTATTATTTCAAGATAAGTTGCTGATTTGCTAATCGAATATGCAAGGTTACTTCACAATATTTTGATGATACGCACAAGTTTTATTTTTGTAGCGTATCTGTAATGTTCGTTGTATATTTGATACGCTTGGATTTTATTTTACTGCGTATTTCTGCATTTCTGATGCATATTTTACGCAGATACGCAGCTTATCTGGAGCTCTGCTTTACCTTTTGATACCTTAACTATTGGGCAGTTTGGCAAGGACTGTAAGACTGGTGCCAATTTCTAATGCTGTCTCTGAGGATCCTGCGGTTCTGTTTATTTGTTGTTTATGCCGCACTCAGCAATATTCCAGCTATATGGCGATGGTCTATAAATATTCGAGTCTGGACTAGCAATCCACGCAAATTAGGATACAACCAAGTCAGCAAGCCTGACCAGTGACCATCCAATCCTGTTCGTATCCTGTTAGCATGGGTTGCTGAAGACCTATTCTAACCCAGATCTTCACAGGTCTGATCTTGGGTTAGAATTGTCCCCAAACGAGATATGTTAGTTGTACGAGGCAACTTAATGGAATAATTGGTCTGATGCAGTGAAGTGTTTGATAATGTTGGTTTTGAGTAAAACTGCACCAATGCGAACAGAACATGGTTGCACTTTGGCCTCAGCACAGGTCACTCTCATATCCTTTGGCCGTCAGCAGTTGAAAGGAACCTAGAGCTGCAAGATTGTCTGAAGCCCTTAGAATTCCTAGTCCTGCGTCATAGTAAAACAACCTCCTCAATGGCAATAATGAGACCTTCTTGACCTAAAAGTCCAGATTCTATTATTGATTCCAATGACAGGTGTTGGTCATACAGCTAGAATATTGTTGTTTGTGTCTGGGAACTACCCTAAACCTGGGGCATCAAAATGCTAATTGGGTTGAATAGTCCCTAGTGGGGTAGCCTAGTGGTTAAAGTGTTTGCTCGTCATGATGAAGGCCTAGGTTTGATTCCCTTTATGGGTTTAATGTGTGAAGCTCATTTCTGGTTTTCCTGCCGTGATATTGCTAGAATATTGCGTAATGCTGCGAGAAACAGACCTCCCTCTCTCTCTCTCTCCTCTCTCCTCTCTCCTCTCTCTCCTCTCTCTCTCTCTCAGAATATGTATTGGAAAGCACACAGATCTATCAATGGGTAATAATGATCATGTTCATTGAGCTTTGAATAATTTAATACCTAAGTGCACTAGCCTAGAATGTGACATTAAACCCAGTTCGCCTCACCTCACTCCTTACTGACTTGTGTGTGTGTTATCAGCGTTAGAAATTGGCACTAGTCCTGTAGTCCTTGCTAAGCTGCCCAATATTTAAGGTGTCGTAAGGACTAGTAGAAATTTGACAATTCTAAGGGTTTTGCTATACGTTATGATAAGGACTAGTGGACTAAATATGTTAGTTTCTACTGCTGTTTATGGGTTGTGGGTGACCTGTGTCTAAGACGCTGCAATTACCTGTGCAGAGTTGCATCCCTCAGGTATGTCAGAAACTTAAGATCGTTTATATAAGATCCACTATACCTGTGCTGGCGAGTTTCCACAAAGACGTCTACAATGTGCATAATTTCAAACCTGTGAAGTTCCGGAATAGAATAGGTCTTCAGCAACCCATGCTTGCCATAAAAGGCGACTATGCTTGTCGTAAGAGGCGACTAACAGGATCGGGTGGTCAGCCTCGCTGACTTGACTGATGCATGTCATTGTATCCCAATTGCGTGGATCGATGTTCATGATGTCAATCATGGATTGTCTGGTCCAGACTCGATTATTTTTCAGACCGCTGTCATATAGCTGGAATATTGCTGAGTGCGGCGTTAAATAACAAACAACAAAGCATAACTTCAGGCTTTCCTCCAACATCAAGCTCATAAACCGTGACCTAACTGGAACTCTGATGAAGGCATTGTTGCCGCGACCCGCTCACCGACTGCTTCGTGTTTCAGCTGCCCTGATCCAGCAGTCCACCATGGTGAAGAAGAAGGACATCAGGAAGTTCCTGGACGGGATCTACGTGTCCCAGAAGACGACAATTGTCAAGGATGAATAAATAAAGTATTCACTGTGGGACTAAGTGTTGTGTTATTGTATTTCCTGCAGAGATGGAAAATCTGCCGTCTGTTGATGTCAGTCATCTTCCGGAGGCAAGGGAGTTAACTGACTATTAAGGTCCAGTTTCCACCCTTGCCGAACTAGGCTGCCATTATGGAGTTATATTTTGGCTTGACTAATGAGGCTATGCATAGTCCAATCAAAACTGCGTAACAAAATCGACATATGGATCCTAAACTGCCGTGCAAATTTCGGTCAATCGCAGGATTTGCAAAGCATGTGTACCGGCAACTTGGTGTCAACACATATTTTCCAAATCTTTTCATGTTTTTAATCAAGGTGCTAAAATGATTTAAGGCATTTCGCGAAAGGAAGACCCGTTTTATCACAAAATAGATGTTGATTATTGATCAGATCGTCTTGACTGGGCGCAGCTATTTGTAAATGCAAGTGATATGAGAGGTGGATTCTGATTGGTCTATAGGAGGGATATAGAAGGGACATAACTCGTAATAGCCACTGGTGGAGCTACCATCGAGCCAGAAATTCCGCTTAGTTTGGCAAGGGTTGAAACTGGACTTTTAAAGTTGGTGAACGCCCGTGCTTTGGGAAGATGAATGTCTGAACTCCTTGGTACCAATCTCAAACTTGAACCACAAGACAGGATCTCAAGTTATACATCTTATTTCTGTCTAGTAAGCTCAGCTGAGAACTATTTGAGGTGAAAGTTATTTCCAGTGCCTGTGTGACACAAATATAGACAATACTTCAGTAGTGTTCTGTGGTAACAGCAGTCCCAGCAGCATTCTGCAACCAATATTTGATAATTCTGCATAAATTTCTGCAAAGCTTTGAGCTAGTTTTTGTAGATTTCCTAGTTTTACACCTGTCTGACTTATGGCAGGCATTTTGGTGACAAACTTGCAGTCATTGGTGTAAAAAAACAGCAGTGTTCTTGCCAAGAGACTGAACAAGGGGGTGGACAGGGACCCCTTCAGCATAAAATACATAGCGTCATTTTCAAGAATTGTGTGGCCTCGCTCTTTGAGAGATTTGTCGTGATAGATCAGATGTACCACTCCAGGTCCTGCTCATTTACCACCTTGAATGACTGAATGCAAACCCAGCCTGCAATATTCAGGCTAGTCCCATCTAAATTGTGTGAGGATCCAATGATGGTAGTCTTCAGTGACTAGTGGCATTTGAGGGCTGTAATTCTGAACAAGTTCTGAATATTTAAAACTGAATGAAACCGACAAAATGTGAAATAGTGAACATTTTTGGCTTGTGATAATAGTTTCATTTACATGTGGTGCATTTGCATTCGGCAAATACACTGCAGAATTTTAGTCAGAGTAGAAGGCTAGTTCTAAGTATGTAAAAGTTGCATAGGTTAAGTGAGTATGGTTTTACGTCACATTTAGCAATATCACAGCGGGCATAGGTTTAGTGAAACGAACAGTCGATGTTTGAACTGTGCTTTGTATCAATTAAGTCATTCCAAATAATTATTTGAGGTGTTGGATACATGGAAATGAGTCGGTCATTGTGATCCACACAGTTGGGATTTGATGACATGATATCAACGAAGTCTCCAAGGCTACCACCCAATCAATTCAGTCGCCTCTTATTATCTGGGAAACCATACCTTTACCTGGAATCCACACAGGTGCCCGATATCGTGGTCATCAGAAACAGTACCAGTGCAATAGGCAGGCAAAGAACACTAAATCATTTACACAAGTTTTAGTTTGGGTTAAAGCAACAATTACTATGTTATCTGAGTTCACATATACAAAACTTTCTGAATTCCCAAATGTCTATTACGATCACGATTACTAAATGACAAGAGTGTCGAACGATGTTGCCTATCCTATCTGTAAAGCCAAACTGAAATTATAACGACACCGTGTGGTCGACACGTGGCGCATATGCATGCTTTGAGATCTGTATCCGCGAAGTAAAGCAGTGTGTGTGCGCGAACTGTCTTCACACAAACGAAACAGAGCGACCAGTTCGGAAACCTCGCATACTTACAGAAGTACGAGAAAAAATAATATACATCCTGTGATGACAATACCCTTTTGTCCATATGGTGTTCGAAAAAGAACCAGCTTCACAAACCCTTTTGGTTTCAATACCCATATCCCCAGTTCTTTCTTCTGGTCTTGGAGTGAGTAAGTTGGGTTTAACGCCGCTTTTAACAGTATTACAGTTATATCACGGCGTGTCAGCTTAATGTGGGAGGAAAGCCCGAAGTGATGCAGGTCTCAGACGTTTACCACTTCAGTGAAACCCACGTGCACGGGTATGGTGCTGACAAACATTGAAACATAATCGGGGCGAACCGGGATTCGAACCCACAATCATAGGTTTCTGGCGTGCCTAAGGGACGCAACTCTGCACAGCAAATCGCGGCGCCATAGACGACTGGGCCATCCGTGCCCCCTCTGGTCTTGGAGTGGGGATGCGAAGGTCACTATAATGGCACCATATTGGAGCAGATGACCTTGATCTAACGGTGCTGGAACAGATGACCTTGAAAGATTTCGGTCACCAGGTTTGATGAGATCCTGTACACACAAACACATTCCATTCTCTGGAGCAGCATCTCCCCGGGCTTTCCCCCAACATCAAGCTATGATATCACAGGAATACTGTTCACATCAGTGTTAATCAAACTCAAGCATTCCAATATAGATTTAAAGGAGCAGGTGTATCAGGTATTTTCCCGGCAGGGTTTTGGGGCAGACTGGTCCCAGTACTGGTTTGCCGGCACCAGATTTGGATTTGTCTTGCTGACTGGTTCTATCAAGGCATGTCATCACAGGCACAGGGGCTTGTAACGCAGAAAATAGCAGCTCCAAGATATAAGGCCAACCCAGTGTCAGGATACCATATAAAAGGAATAAAGTATACTGACACTGGATGTGACCATATATCTTGTCGCTGCTATTTTTTGCGTTACACGCCCCTGTGATCACAGGTACGTTGCGATCATAATTTCGGAGAAAATGGGATTTGAACTCGTTACCAACAGGTCCTTTGATCTTACAGAGGCAATTCTGCAGGGAGTTTAACGCCTTCACCACTGTTAGCTGGTTTAAGGCCGCTTTGAACAGTATTTCAGAAGACCAGGATGACCTCTTGAACACAGGCGTGCCCAGAGACTCACAGCGGGTTCCCTAGTTCTTAAATGTGGCACAGAAGCTGCCTTTCAAAGTCACACATGAAAAGTCTAAGCATGTTCTTTGAAATGTTTCGTTGTGTTTACTGTCATGAATGTTGCAGGCAACACTTTCATTCTGTGAAAGGTTAAATTGATGTAGTCATGTTACACTGTCTTGAGAGAATATGTTCCGATGTCTGGGCTTGGTGACAAGCTAGACCCCGCCAAAAACAGACACGCCTTGTTGGAAACACGCGGGATGTCTTCAAACAGGAAGTAAACGTTCTCAATCCCACCCATGCCGTTTGAAAACAAATCCAACATAACAGCTTACTTTCTGAAATCAACCAGATTGACTACTTCCAGATGTGGACAAGTTTGTCACTTGAGCAAGGCTTACAACCGTTAAATATCAGTGTTGCCACGGACCCGTGAAGATCCGGGGTAGAATAGGTCTTCAGCAACCCATGCTTGACGTTAAAGGCGACTATGCTTGTATGAGGCGACTAACGGGATCGGGTGGTCAGGCTCGGTGACTTGGTTGATGCATGTCATCGTGTCCCAATTGCGTGGATCGATGCTCATGATATCAATCACTGGATTCTCTGGTCCAAACTCGATTATTTACAGACCGCCGTCATATAGCTGGAATATTGCTGAGTGCGGCGTTAAACAACAAACAAACAAACAGTGTCGCCACCGTTACGGGAAACATGTTTTGAAGCGCTCGTAAATTGGCGTTGAGGGCCTTATTCGTGTGATGTGTCATTGAGCTGTGTCGTCACGATATGGCTGAAATACCGCCGATGTGACGTTAAATCTTAACTCACTCACTCACTCATTGAGCTGTGACGGCAACTGTACTTACGGACGTGATTAAGCAACGATTCTGTTCTCACCGATTACACTCGTGTAAGTCTAGTCACTGTGATGTGGGACGTATTTCTGAGGTCTGCGTCAAGGATGTCTTTCTTACATTTTTTTTGTAACAGACAGGGTCTTAACTTATTCCTAGATCACTTCACCGATCCAGGCTATGATGAGCAGGTATCGAGCTCTATAAGATAGAAACGATACCTCTCTTCGCCAAGCTCTATCAATCCCATCCCATTGGGATATATACGGCTGTTTCCAAACGTTTTCACATATTTATCATTTCATGGCTGTACTGGAGACGAAAGGACATTTTTTGTCTAAAATATAATTGTATAAACATTTTGTTTTTCAAGGTGATGAAGGATATGGATTACAGGGAATGTTGTTTACGCCATAGTGCAGTTGTATCACGACGGTCTAAATAATCGCGCCAAAAATGAGACGTCAATCATAACGCTGTCCTATAATCATGAGTGAGTGAATGTTGTTTAAAGTCGTAGTCGGCAATAGTCCAGCTGTGCCGCACATGAGAACGCCCCTTGAACATCCGGGTTCCAATTGTTCTTCAGCAACTCCAGCTTGTGGTAAGAGGCGACGACCTGTGACCGTCGTCATAAAGCTGGCATAGCTGGAGTTACACATCAATCCACGGGGGCCCGGGTAGCCCGGTCGTCTAAGGCGCCGCGGTTCGCTGTGCAGAGTTGCGTCCCTTGGGCACACCAGAAAACTATGATTGAGGGTTCGAATCCCGATTCGCCCCGATTATGTTTCAAGGTTTGTCGGCACCAAACCCATGCTCGTGGGTTTCACCGAAGTGGTAAACAGCCCGAGACCTGCATCACTTCGGGCTTTCCTCCCACATTAAGCTGACACGCCGTGATATAACTGGAATAATGTTAAACCCGGCTCACTCACTCACATCAACCCATGCAATCTGCTAAGTCACATAGCCTGACCACCAGATCCACATTGT